TTTAGTCTTCTTGTCCTAGTGTTGACGTGAGACTTTTACAATAATGAGTTCCAGCCCTGATGCTGTCCATTATATGATGGACGTAAGCTCAACCTGTTTGCACCCGAAATGAAGGTCTCGTGGATTGCGTTTACCTGAACGGCATATAAAAGCCAAACAGCTGCAGTACAACGGGATTCAGCCGTCCTCTTCTGGTGAGATCGACTTCTGAATCTCTTCTTCATGCAATTTCATACGAAATGAAAGTCTCCCTAAAAATGTTATCTCAGAGGATTCGTCGAAACCCTGCTTCTCCTCCTAGCTACCAGACACTTTATTTATCTTTTACCCTGTAGAAAAATGATGGCGTGGACAGCTAAATCAAGGTGTGCTTAATTAAGTTGTCAATTAAAGTCTATAGCAGGTAGGTAGGTGTACAGCCTTCCATCATTCTTGACCTGGTGTTTGACTAAGTATTTTATTCGAATGATTTAATGCTCTTATGGTGTCGTGTACATGAAAGTCTCAAGGTCAAAACAGTTTTCCCTCAGCTTATGATAAGGCCGAGTTACGAATACATTACAATCAACTTTTTCAACGAACTGAAAGTTGTTTGTTTGACCTCGTTTTCGCAATTTGGTCGGAGCGTCAGGGCGACGTTGTGGAACGTTCCAAGTTCCGTATCCTCCTTCATAGTATTTGAGATTTCCAGCATTACACAATTGTTTGACCTTGTTTTCGCAACTTGGTCATATTGGTAATAAGACTTAGAGGAACGCACCTAGTCCGGAGTTCATTGTATGCATGATTATTTCCAAAGTCGGACCGTTGACTTGGTACATTCCCAGACGTTTCTCAGACACTGTAGTCGGCATCGACAGTGAGTCTTGCCAGTCTTAGCACCATACGACAACTCGTCAAAGAGACAAGTGAAGCCGATCCTTTGACCAAATGTTTGCTAAACAGTTGTGATATCTTTTCTTCTGTCTTGAGCTATTCATCTTTCCTACATCTTCGTATCATGCTTTCACTATCACAATTTTTCCTTACTTATTTAAATGTAGTGAGGTATACCCTTTTGAGCGGCTTTCATAAGAACCCTCTAAGCTCCACGTTGGCTTTCTTCCCTCCTCCCTTTAGCCTTGTGCCGGCTATGTGGATCAGAATCTGCAATAATGTTACACAGTAATCCTTCCCTAGGTCTTATCAGAGTCTTTCTC